CTGGTAACAAAGGTTACAGACATACTGTCACTGTACTAAATTAACAGTCTGTCTTAGTTCTGGAAGGACTTCACTTAGTTTCAAAATACCAAGCCATCCAGGGCTCAAAACAGTATACTGGTATCTGTGTTTCAAATTAAAATAAAATAAAATTTGAGAGCACTGAGGAGCAAAGTGGTGCAACTTTTGATTGCTTCAGTTAGTGGCTGTCCTCCTTATAACATCCCTGCCTTTTCCTTTTTTTTTTGTTTTTAATCTTATTAAGGATTGTGATTTTCTTTGGTTCCTAATTACCTTTTTTTTTTGTTGGGTTGTGATATTTTTGTTTGGGGTTTTTTGCTTTGGGTTCTTTTTGTAATTCTTGTTTTCTTACCTGTTTTTCTGTCCTTTATGCAGTCCATCATAACTCCCTTTTTCACTTTTTGCATGTTAATAGTTTTAATACTGCACCATGTCAGAAAGTACTACTTGTCAGATACCTTTCCTTAGTCTAAATTAACAATGAAGTCTTTTGTTTTGCAGTACCTTGGTACTTTGTCTTTTTGTGGGCTCTTCCAAATATTAAACGTTCCTCTCTTTTCGCCTTTCTTTTTCTAGGTCGGATCCAAACTTCAGTAGTGAAATGCAGATTTTTGTTCAGTTATTTTCTATTCTATACTTCGAATTGCATAAATTTCTGTTGTGGCTGGTCTGTGGTTTTACTGTTATCTTTGGACTGTGAACAGCTGTAAACACATCTTAGGGGTTGTTTGGGTTTTTAATTTATTTTGATTTGATTACAATGCATTCATTTTAGGGTTTTCTCTTTCATGTAGTTTCATGTATTAATTCCCATCAGAATTATGGCAACACAAGTGTGAGCTATATGCCAGCTACGCAATTGCCAAAATGACTATAAGCAGCCAGTACTACCTCATTAGACTTGCTTCATTTGTTCTCTTGACTTCTTATCAATCCTCTTTTGTTCTGGTCTCCTTTCAGGTATTCTGCCTTAAATGACTATAAATTAAATGTTACCTTTCTTTGGTTAATTTTCCTTTTACCTCTCCTCTCTTCCCCTCCTTTTTTCTTTTTTTCTTTTCTTCTTTTAATGCCCCTTTAACTCTTACTCATCACTGAGTGAGTCTTTTGACTGTTCCAAATTCATGAGCAGGCAGTTCGAGTTGCAGCATGTAGATAATTCTAGTTTAGCAGCAGTCTTCATTCTGACTCCAAAAAAAGTTCATTCTTATGTGATGGGGGCTTCAGAGTAGAGAAGGTCCATCCAAGACACTGGATGGAACTCTAAATTGTAAATGTAAATCACCAGTGAATCCATTAAAACTTCTTGATTTGATGTATTTTCATGTCTTCTGTAGTTCTTAAGATCTTTCTAAAAATGTAGAAGTTACACTGAAGTGAAGAGGGAGGACACATTTAGCTTTTCAGTTTTCATTGGGTTTTGCAGCTTTTTATAGTGACAATAGTGCTTCAGGCATATGTATTGCAGATTGCATTTCATGCATGAAAATACTATCTACTTCTTGCTTATTCCAGTGTATTTTTTATTGCTTGCAGTCTACACACTCATGTTTTATCTTAATATTTTGCCTTGAAGATCTCCGCTTTGGCGTTCAGACCGGTCCATTAGCTTGCCTTTCATGGCCTGAACTCTGTCCTCTCTTACTCGTTCTGGTTATATAGTTGTCAGATACTTGCTCTGAATTAATTTAATGGATGAGGTTTCTTCAATTATATCAGTAGCACACTTTTTTGTGTCTATGGAAATACAGATTTTGACATGCATCATTCATATACGCTCACTTACAACTTGTATAATTTCCCTGACGGAGTCTGGGAAAATTGCTGAGCAATATCAGATTTCATATTTGAATTGTGTGAAAGTTCTTTGCAAAGTTGGGTTTTTTAATCAGGATTTCATAGGTATGGGTGCAAGGTGTTAGCAAGTACTGTGGATTTGTACTGAAGACCTGATTTTCACATCATTACACATCTCAGGATTTTTTTTTTGGACTAGCTCTAGATTGATCCACTGATCAGAGTGCTCATTTGTGACTGGAGTGTATTAAGTAGGTTACCACTCTCCTTAGTGAACTAAAGGGCAGTAAGAAGAATGAAGGGAGACTAACCTCAAAATGCAAAAGTTAAGGTCCTTTTGCACTGTCATTACACAACAAAGTCCAGTGAAGCTTTTTCTTTTTTCCCCTCTTGAAAAAGTGACACTACAATGGAGGAGGTGACTTAAGGGGGGATTTTTTTTTCCTTGGGTCTTTTTTTGTTATTTAATCTTGGCACTGTGTGCTAGTATGACTCCCCTTCCCTGGGCTGCAGTTGTTACATGACTTTACCTTCTTTCCTCGTTATCTTGCCAAGTCTACTAGCTTTTAACGCCTGAGTACATATTTTTTTGTTGTTTTTAAATTTTAAAAACTTACTTTGTTCTCTCTTTTTTTCCTTAGACTTTCCAGATTCAGAAAAATTGATTTTATTTATCACAAATGTATGGTCTGACATATTTGTCTTCCAAGGTGCAATTAACAAAGCTATGCAATTAGTTGTCAAGCAGAGTGCAAGCAATGAGATGCTGACCTGTTTGAGTGCTTATCTCAACTGGGAACAGGTAACGTCTGCTTTCATTGTCCATATCGGCTTTTGTCTGCATTGGTCACTTTACTGGCTGAATCAAATCAATCAGCTTTATTTCTGATGAAGGGTGTGAAGATACCCTGTGAATCTCTCATGGAGTCTGTACAATTGCACAACTAATGCTGCATCAGGCCTTTTTCTATGGTTTTCTAGACCCTGTGAGAACACACCACTTTTGTTGTTTTCCCTATTAAATACTAAGCCCGCTATTAAACATTAAAAGTAAACATTGTTTTTAAACTTTGACTGGAGTATTCTTGGACTAGGGAATTCTGTCCCTCTATGGAACTGGGATGTTGATGTTCTTTGAGGTGTTTGCTTTGCTTTGTTTTATTGGGGTTTTTTAATACATATCGGGCTTGTCTGTCTTTCGTAGTTCTCTGAGTAATAGGTAATTATTTATCACAGTTAATTTCAAGATGAGCCTGTCTCTTTTTACTCATGATCTTTCTGTGAGGTAGACTGTAAATACCCGTTTATCACCAAAAAAAATCGGCTAATTAATTTCATAAGCAGTGATGGCAGAAGAAGGATGACCAGTGTTAAGGACCTAAGGGCTTCTGAGATTTGACTTCAAGTCTTTGAGCCCTTGGGCAAATCATGTAATTTCTTTCAGTCTTCAGTAGGCACACATTACCATCCTGAAAGGGATGTTGCAAAGAGGGAAAAATTGAGCCACACTTGCTATCAGTAGGAGCAAATTTATATTGTGTAGATGGAAAGGCGGAGGTACTTTACTTCTGGAGAAGGAGTTTGTGTAACAGGCTTGTATGTTTGCTTGAAGGCTAGGGCTCTGGTAGTTTTGAAAACCCCATATTAATGCTAGGCTTGCTTGGTGGAAGTGCTGTAGTTCCGTAAATATCAAGTGAACAAAATCATCTTCACTCATAGCTTACCTATTCCCTATCCTAACATGCTGCTCCACAACTGCCTTGGGGACTGCAGCTAGGCTTACTGCTGTCAGCATAACCTGTACGTGTTGTATGCACTGGAAAAAGCACGATGATTTTTTGCCCCCCCCGCCCCGATCTGAAACCAGCCCTGAATTTTATGTTGTACCACTGGAATTACAGCCCTTATAAACCTCCTGATTTAGTGTAGGTTTACAGTGGAGTGAGTTAAGAGGGCATAGATTTGTATATGTTCCTTTTCGATTAAATCATAGTTGTGATGTAGCATTAAGCTCTGGTATTCAGAGTTGTGCTGTACTGCAATCCCTGTTTAGCAAAGAATTTGTATTCTCCGTTCTATTAGGTTACAGCTTTCAATCTCATGCCAATAGAGATGCATATAAGTATGTCTCAGTAAATGTTCTTGGAAATACTAATTCTGTGCACTCACAATGCCTACTTTCTTTATGGATCTCTATGAAATATGAGAGCTGCTGCAGCTGGGGAGAAGGGCCTCAGGAATTACTGATGATAGCAGATGACATCATCCTATCTGTAACATGGGTTTTTTTAAGTAGGTGGAAATAGAGGGACAAATTTCAAGTGGATTGTGGTCTACAGTCTGTTACACATATAATTTTATGAGAAGATTATTCTACTTGTGAAAGTAAAACTCATGTAGAGTGAGTATTTAGTTCTTGGTGAAAGTCTGCCATTTTAGTGACTCGCACCAGTGCAGAACTTGCCAATTAAATGAGCTTTTGTGCCAAGAAGATACGCTGAGCACCCACTGTGTTTATGCGATAAGCCTAGACTTTTTTCTTAATACTTCAGATATTCAAAGGATGTTTGTTTTTAAATTTCCTTGCTTGCCCTAGCTATTTAGTTAGCAGAGTTGTTTCACGTGACATGTTTTCAGTTATTACTACCTAAACTTTTTAAAGTACTTGATTGGTAATTAGCCCCTAATGAACAATAAACAATAACAAATTTCAGCATCAGAAAATCATTTAAAAACAAAAAAAACCACAAAAAAACAAACAAAAAACCAAACCAACAAACAAAAAAAACTTGGAAAGTGAGCAGGATTAGTCTAATCTGCTTGCATTGGAAAACACAGTTCTGACCTTAAAGCTTCATTGAGGGAAACAAAAATACGCAGATTGTAGAAGAAGAAGTGGGTGTGGGGTTTGTGGGTTTTGTTGGTTTTTTGGGTTTTTTTTTCCTCCAAACTGTCCTTTTAGTAAAAGCATCAAGAATACTACTGAGTACTTGAACATGGTGTAAGGTGCTGTGGACAGTCAGAATCAAATATATGTAAAGAGTTTGGTTCTGGGTTGGTAACTTCTCATGCATTAAGATAATCGCCTTCTAAAATTCCAGAGTTCCTCTTTAGATGCTGGTATTATGGTCTCAAACCTGCTTTTAGAAATGCAGTCATGTCCAAAAGTAGAATTTCAACTGAGTGAGCAATATGGAGAAGATCTGAGTGAAGATGCTTGGCAATACATATTTGCTGTTGATTTACTCTGCTCTCGCATGAAGTGGGATTGGACTCACGACAATGTTATAAGGTATTATGGCAAGCAGTTCTTTCATATGTTTTCCTGTGTGGGTTTTTTTGTGGTTTGTTTTGGTGTTGTTTTTTTTTCCCCAAATTTGAGACATTATGACAGATTTTAACATAATAAAACATTGCATAGATACTTAGAAATGAGAGCGTTTTAACCTGATGAGACTTAAACCACTGTTGATTGTGTGCCTTATTTTAAGATAGAATGAGTGATCCATAAGGAAATGTAGTATTTTATGGTACTGGTTCAAGAAATGAACCCTGTTTGAACCATTCTAATAAAGAATTGCTTTTAAAATAGCTGTATGTGGACAACTGTGAAAGATTTTGAGATAGATTTTTTGTCAATGAAGCAAAATGATCAGTTGTCTTCCTCTGAACTTAATTGTTGAATTCTCCCTGCCCCCCCATCACTAGAAAATGAGGGTGGAACTTTGGATGTGTAAATAGCTCTCCTTCAGTGCTGAAAGTGAAATGTAACCATACTCATTAGTGTACTATCCTGATTTCAGTCTGATTTTAATTCTAAAATAATTATAATAAGTAGATTCAATATCTTAAATTTTCTTTGAACCCTATAATTGAGTGCATGGACTGCTACTATACTTAACTTGGTTTGAAAGACTCCATTTTGATACCTACACTGATCCGACAGCCCCTATTTTCTATGTAGAGGTTATATAGCCTAATAGAATCTGCAAAAATACGGCATTTTTTTAACTATGATGTGATGTTATCATTGAGTATAAAGTAAATGCAGGTTTAAAGAAGGTTTAAAACCTTCTTTACATTACTCAGACTTGTGGATGCTTGGAATATTATGAGTTTCCCTAGAAGGTGAATTAAAGATGCGAGTGGAGCTATGGAAATACATGGTAAACAGAAGAACCATTTGTGTTCATTATTGTATGAATATTGTATCCCTCCTTCATGCAGTATCAGATTTTCAAACTCATTTATCTTTCACAGCAAAGTGCTTTGGCCTTCTATGGATAAATGGGTAAAGAAGAGAAAGGGGCATGAAACTGCTCAATCCATTCCTGATAGTGTTATAGGACTGACACTCAGGCTAATTGGTAAGTAATCTAAATTCTTGGTTGAACTTCTGCTTTGTCTAAGTATGTCCTTTGAAAGTGTCAGCCTGCCTGGAAAGTGAATTGAAATATTTTCGCATTTTGGGATCTTGATTTTTTTTCCTCAGTTTCTTCAAAAATTTTCACCTTGAAAGCCAAACCCTTACAATCCTATGCAGATATTTTTTGTTTGTCAGCCTATGGAAAGCACGTACTTAAGTTTTGAGAGATCTTACTCTGATTTCACGATTACAAATACCAACATGTTTTATGTATTTAAAATGAAATAATTTGTAGCTACATATGCTTTGTAGCAAAGTATATAAAATAAGGTTTTATGTGCAACATAATAGCTCTTCCTGCAGTTTTGAGTTAGATTCATTTATTCGGGATCTAGATAAACTTTGGGATTCAATAGGTGTTTTCAGTATGTAGGCTATATAATACTGTTTGTTAAACAGAAATTGCATTCTTTGAGAGTTTTACACTTGGAAATTGTAAAATCTGCGGAAGGTTGGATCGATCTGCTGAAAAATGCCTTGAAGTCTTTCGTCTCAAAAGGAAGAGGACAACTGTTGTTCCCAGGAAAACATTGTAACAAGAATGACTAATTTTTGTAATTGAAATTTGCATTTTCTGTTACTTTACTTCAACAGACAATCAGTAAGTCTCAAAATTAGGAAGTTGACTGTCTAAATGTCAGATACTTAGTAATCTTTTTTTCTTTCAGGTCGATTGGGCCAGATCGGTTTGAAGGAAGGATATCTTGCTGCAGTGAAGAATATTAGTTCTGTAATTGGACTATTTGTACAGCATGCAAAAGAGGAAGGTAATGTTTATTTAGAGGAACTTTGGTGTAATGTCTGCAACATGAAGTTTTGCCACTGTAAACAGAATACACACAAAGCGAGACAGACATGCCAAAACAGCCCACTTGTGCAGTTTTATGTTAGTGCTTAACCGTACAAACAGTTTTCAGTTTGAGTCCCTTTCTTTTCTGAAGTTAATGAAGCATGTGTAATACCTTCTGTTTGAGACAGAGAACAATTCTGAGGTGGTTTCAGCCACCTTGGAACTACACTGCTTCATGTAACAGTGGATCAGGTGCTGCAGAGAACTTAAAGGGTGATCTTAACTTGAGCAGTAATAGCTAATTTGTTACCTGAGCCACTCATGCTGAAGCTTGCTACTAGCAAGATTGTTGTGTTGGGAGAGGGTTGCAAGACAGTCCAAATTCCTGACCAAGACAAAGCAAGGCATTTATGGCAGCAGAGATCTGTATGGCTATGTTTTTCTGGATATTAAGTGCATTTTGCAGTGAAGCATTGGTTGATGTTAGGGAGCCGTTGTTAAGCACTTGTATCGCTTTTCTTCCTTGCAATCTCAAGTTCTTCCAAGTAAGTGGTATATGTCTGTGTCTGTTTCAGGCTCTGTGTAAACATGACTGTTTTCATAAAAATCTGATTACCCTTAACTAGAGTAAAATCACTAGGTGCTCAAATCTTTTATGCCCTTTGAATACTGAAAACCTGCTGAATTCAGAAAACTGGAAAGTGCTAGTATGAAACGAGATATTATGGAATCTGTGTGCAGGTTGTCATCTTGCTGCTTTCTGGTTTTAGGCATCCCAACTGTTCATGTGTTTTAATTCCAGTTCTTGAACTATGTTTCTTTAGATTCAGGTTTCCCAAAAATATTATTGCATATCAAAGTTTCTGTAAGCTGATTTGTGTTAACTTTTCGCAGGTGTTCCCTGGGGTGTGCAGCTGGCCGCCATATATTCACTGTGTGACTTGGGTTCAAGCAATCCAGAAGGTATTGTTGAGGCCATCCATGCTTGGAGAGCAACAGTTCTTAACAACATCCCTTTTGCTGTCACAAGTGGCATAGCTGAAATCGCTTCTCTGTGTAAAATGGAGCTAAACTAAAATCTACGGAAGCGGACTGATCTGAAGGAAAAAGTGCCTTATTTTACTAAGCAGTAGTTGGTTCCAGTTAAAAACAATACAAAGTGGTGTGTCCTCTTTTATTAACTTTTTTTTTAACAGAATCTGATTACACAAAGCAAGCTGAAGTATTTTTATTTGACTTTTCTGTTTGAGGGAAGAGTTTTCAAAAACTAAATAAAAAGACTTGCTTTTCCTAATAACTGATCACTGATCTGAAAACCAGTGCATCTTTGACTTCTGAGATATTTCTGGTTTGATGTCAATAAAAATCAGTAACAGTTTCCATTATTTTACTTCCATCAATTTGGAGCACGTGCTATTTGACACAACAAAAGATTGAGCCTGGCTGAAAACCTGGCTTTATTATTTTGTACTATATTTATAAAGTAACCATTCAGATAGCAGAACTTTGCCCAGATTCTGCTTTATTTTGCTTGAGTAGTCTTATAAGCTTAATTTAAAATACTTGTGTAAAACAGGTAGGAATTGACTTTTTGTGTAACAATCATGTATAGAGTAACAGAGATACTAAATCTCTGAACTTGTATATATAGTATATTCTGATAATGTGTCTCACATTTTATATTGTTCCACTTGGGGAATTTTGTGTATGTAAATAGAAAGTTGGTTCAAAAAAGTTCACATTTCTAATGATAGCTTCACCACACTCTGTGTTTTTGTATCTTTCGTAATAAAAGAAGCAAACACCATTGTGTTCTTGTTGGTCTTTTTAAATAACACAGAATGAACTGTTGTTTCCAGTTTATATAAATACTGCTTTTGGGGGGCAGGAGGAAATTACCTGAGGTCATTTCAACTGAATGAACTGCCCATAATGCTGCAGTTCTGGCCACTGGAAAGAGGCTATATTGCATCTCTCCAGAATTTTCTGGTAGCCATGGGGGCTGGGGGGATAGTTTTAAAAATCCGTTGAAAACCTGTATTTTCACCCCCTGACTATAACCATGTGAAGAGGTGAGCTTTGCTAATGCAGGTTCTCATTGTAGTGGGACCTGGACTATGCCAGAGCTTTGATGTGGTGTCAGTCTTTTCTCCTTTTTCTTCTGATCATAAAAAGGTCAAAAGGCTTTTAGTCTGCTGAAGCCAGCTGTGAACTTGGATAATGAAATCTTAAACTCAATTGGACAACACAGGATTTACACTTAATTCTCTCTCCTATGCCTTGTGTCCTTGCAGGTAGATCTATGCTTTCAAGCTTGTCTTCAGACAGTTCAGTATCTTTCAGTTGCAGCAAGCACTTCACAATTTCTTCTGGTTCTTGTCAACCTTTTTTGGCACATCAGCGGCTTCCACGTTGCTGCATGAGCTGCAGGCTCTCCACTTTGTTCACAGATCCTGTGTTTCCTGGAGGTTCTGCTCTGCAGCATGCTGAGTTGCTCATTAAAGAAAGAAAAGTCATCCCCTTCCTGTGGTTCTGCTTGATTAGACGCTGCTGTCTTCAACAGGCAGGATGCGTGCTGCTTTTGGTATTCCTGTTGTATCGATGCCTGTAGCATCATACTTTGAATTTAATTTAGACACAAGCTTTAGCCTATTCTGCCTTGCCAGGTTTTTTTACATCTACTTCAGATGATTGTCTTAAAACCTACTGGCTGTTTTTGGTGTGAATGGAATTTTTTATAAGAACCTCCCCTGTATCTTATGCTTCCTATTCTAGACTCTCTGATAAAGACACTTAAGAAGTAAAATCAAGTTACTAATGTTTCTAAATATTCACTGGAAATGTAAAATTCTGGGTTGGAATAGGTGGTACTAACAGTTCAAAATTTACAACAAAATAATGTATTTTATAAAACAGAAATTGTATATTTTGTATATTTACACAATTGATACAAAATTTATACAGTATTGTACAAATATTTTGTTTCTGATCAAATTGCTTTACACTATATGCTTATCTATAGAAGCAATTTCTTAGTTCACGTCTGTTCTTCAGTTCTGCCACCAGGGTTAAGTCTGTCTTTGCGCTATCTGTACCTGGCACGTTCTTTGTGCTCTGTGTGTGACATAAGGGCTAACACATATGCTGAACCTTCAGTTCTCATTTCCTCACTGAATTGCAATACTTTGTGGCTGACTCCTTTTGATTATACTTTGATTTCAAAAGCATCTTTCTGTACCATTTTGACAGTCATAGACCATCATACAATTTCCATTCCAGACATATTTGTATTGTTACAGCTTAGAACAACGTGGCTGAGAAATTCCACTGCTCTTCTGTATCACAGATGAAGCATAGGAGTTTCCAAGTTGTGGGGCTTCATGCCAGAAGGATTAAGTCTTCAGATCCAGGAGGCTGGGTTATTTTGTCTCTGCCAGATCATTCTGCCTTGTTCATGATCTCTTTGAAAGCTACTGGTCTAAGAAAGAACAAATGAGAAGTGCCTTACAAGCCATCTAGATGTCTTTTTACCTGCTTTTTCTGAATTCCAGCATGCTGCATCTCGGGAGGCCTTGGTGATTGCTACAGACTAATGCCTAGCTATTCAGGCCGTCATTCAGCACCACACCTGAGGCAAAACCTCACGAGACCGATTTCTGCCAGCACCAGTGATGTGATGGCTTTGGTTGCATTCATGTCTATTTTTCTTCGGTGCTGCCTTGGCCCATAGCCATTTTCCAGCTTTGTGCTAGTTCTGCAGTCTGGGGCATTCCACTGTCTTCATTTCTGCTGCCAGTGCTGCTGGCATGGTCAGCTCTGGTGCAAAAGAGCTGGTGTTGAGAGGCATCGTGAATTTTGTGCCTGACTAGCAATGCGGTCTCCTACCCCTCTGAGAGGTTCTTTCCTCTGAAATGAAACCATGCAGAGCAAAGTATCCATTAATTTCAGTTGTAGATACAGTTGCTAGTGTTCTGCACCTCAAATTGATGGAAGTGAGTTTAACGCAGCCAACTAGGTCAATGAGAAATGTGTAGTAGTATTGGTAATATCTGCTACAGATGTCTATCATGAAGGCTTCTAATCCATAGAAATTAATTTGACTCAGGTTGAAGCTATATGATGTCTGGGACGCTGGGCGTTTTGATGATTGTGAGGGCTATGGGGATTTTATGTACGCCCTTTACTTATCTTTCTTGCATTAAAATGAGCACAGAATATCTGGAGTGGAAGAAGGACAAAAGCAAAGGCTGACAATAAAAGTATTGATAATAAATCTGGTAAAGAAAATGAATGGGAAATAGATCAAATAAAAGAAAACAAAGAAAGGAACAATGTGAGAAAAGGATCTCAGATGTTTCAGTGCAAAAACATCCCACCCAAAAATGTTCACAGCAAACAGAAAATCCTGTTGCCTTTAACATTTTTATAAAACACTGACATTTGAAGTATACGAAATTTGCAGGGGAAATATCAGAGCTTTCCAAGACCAAAAATCTACAACTATACTACTCTGGAAACAAAATAATATTAAAAAAAAAAAAAAAAAAAAGAAAAACCCACAAAGCTTTTTACATGAAAAATCTTCTGTTCTGCTAATATGACTGTAAGAATAATTTTTTCGTGCGCAAGAATGTGAGCCTGATTTCAATTCTGTTGTTACTCTCTATTGTCCAATCAAACTGCATTTAAATAAGCAAAACCAGAATCATTAATACCTGAAGGTGTTTGCTTCTGTTAAATCCTAATCAGTCGTATAGAAATAATACTTGTACCTCCCACACACAATGTCAAATTTACAGTATTGAAGAGCTGTAAATTGTTGATGTCCATAAATAGGTGAGAAAGTAGAGCAATTTTCACTATATGGAAACCTTTATCTATATAATTCTAATTATTCAGAAATTACATAAGTAAATTTCTCATCCAGAGATGTGTTCCAAATACTAAAATCATATTTTGTGTAAAATACTTAGTCCATTAAAGCAGGAATTTCTCTCATCATTTGCAGATTTTTGCTTTCTTGTGTTCTCACACGAACATTGACCACGTGGCCTGTCCCAAACTACTGCTACCATAGAACATTCAAGTTTTCACTTCTCCATGCCTCCTCATGTTCCTAACCTAAGACATGAAAAGCCACCTCAACTGCAAAGACATTAATGTCAGCAATCTAGAGCCCTTTCAGATAAAATGCTAGCCATCAAGATTGATCTCTGGTTAAAATACTCAGTGCTAGCATGTCTCCCTGCCCAAATGTAAGAGACGGTAAACAAGTGCAAGCATTTATTTATTGGGACAATTCTGTACTACAGGCTTCTGACTTCATAGCTGTATTATCAGGTGTCTGAAAATCCCTGACAGGAAAAGAAACCTGTCATAAATACTGGGGAGCAGTTTCACTTTATGTCTGTTTGTGTGTAGATGAACAGGATGCTGGAATAAGTTACTCTAGGAAAAAATTATATTTATTCATTTTACTTGTATAGCTGCCTTTCTACTAGGAGTTCTTTTCTGAGTGTCTGTATCCCATCATGCTGTGCTGGCAGAAGTATTCCACTGTACGCTCAGTCATACAGTCTTGCTGGAATACTGATTTTGGACATAAATACCTTTTTTTCTTTTTTTTTTTTTTAAACTATATTTCTATAAAAAGCAGTGTCTTTGAGCTATGCTACCATTTTTTCTTGGCTCGTTATACCATTAGAGTATTATACCTACCTGTCTAGGTATAGTAGCGAATCTTTTCTGGTGTGAATTAGTTCTTGGTTTGTCTTCATAAAAGCGAAAGGTCTGGACTCTAGATTGTTTAAAATTAAGCTCTAGTTATTTTATCAAACCCTCTAAAACTGATTTATTGTCTTTCCTGGCTTCTGCTTTCACCTGCCTGTTTGGAACAAAAACGATTGCTGAAACAGATACTTAAAAAAGGCCAAAGCAGTTACCAGTTTTCCAGTTTGAAATGACTAATGAAATTACATGCTCTACCCTCAGTTTTAACGGATGAAACTGCCTGTATGAATGGAAACCAATCAGAGAACCTGAAGATTTGTTTTCAAGGGGCTGAAATGAGGTGATTAAATCAGTTTGGAATATCGCCATACAGCTTCACATTCTTCCCATCCTACCTAAGTTTTCAAGAAAAGTCAGAGCCTACTATCAAAAGCCTGTCAAATGAGAGAGAAAGGGTTTCTTCAGAGTTGGGCTTTGTAATGATGCTGTTACTGGAACCAGGAGGCTGAGGTCTCCATCTGT